CATGCCTAGACTACAATAGTAATGTTGAGCAGTTGTGTTGCAGTCACGTGCATGACAACACTGTATGCGCGTCTACCTGAACGGGCTCCTGCTGCTTGAAAACGGGCGTGAGGTCGGGCATGATGAGATGAACGTACTCCTCCTTGGTGCACTCCTCGGCGATCAGCAGCACGTTGGGCAGCACGAAGGGCACCATGTCCGGGTTGACAAACTCGGAGGTCAGTGCCGGCAGGATACGATACACCACCACTCTCTGAGAGAAGGAAAATAACAGAATGTCAGGAGCCACGAAAGAGCATTCACACGGGACTAACCGTAGGTTCACAGTGAGTTAATTCGGGGAAAAGAAGTACAGAGAAAAGGGAACAAAAATAACAGGAACTAGTTGAAGAAAATATATTTTTAAGAAACAGACCCAGACCTTGTGTTTGAGTGTGAGAGTTTATACGACACAACTAAACAGAGAGCATGTGAGAGCTTGTGTTCTGATAGATATGGGAGTTTCCTATACAAGATGAACGAGCAGTTACCTTTGGTAGTTTGGGCAGGACTTTGGGGAGGCTTTTGTAGAACTGGGACTTCTGTAGGTTGTCCCTCTGGAAGAGGGAGTCAAAGTACTGCAGGGTCACAGCACCCACGTCGTCAAAGAATGGAATCTGATTTTTACACAAAAGAAAGAAATGTTGTCCTTTAAAGACTATGAAAATGAGCCATTGCTTGTGTCTTCATGCGCGTCGTGACCATGCAAACCTTCGTTATCTGGTCTGCATCTGGTCGGACGTTGGGTGTGATACTTATAAACGCACTGTTACAACTCCTTCATAGTGTCATATTGCTTTTCGGAGAATTATGATGATAAGTTCATAGTAGATGCAAAAGTATACTTATGTACAATATATTATGTTGAACATTGTTGCTCCTGGATGGATCGCAGCCAACCCAATTATTTTCAACACAGCTCCATGTCCTTGGTCACAGTGGCCACAGCACTTAAAAGAATAAACTTCATAATTCTCAAAATTCTGACCCTTTGCTTTTTTATTAACAGAATTTACGTTTAGCCCCAGTATATATTTTTACTTTTTTATGACCGTACAGCACATATACAATATTAGAACCTGCTAAAAAAGTTCTATAGCTTTTGTCTGATTCATACACGATATGGTCCTTCTTTGTGGCTCTAAATGTTTATTTTTTTGGAGGATTTAAATCATTACCTCGCTGTTTTTCTGCTGTATGGGGAGCGACGGCTTGTCGGAGATAGTAATAAGATATAATCGAAAAGTAAAAGAAATGTCCAATAAGATCGCCGGGACGGCTCTTTCTGTATTTAGGTACAATAACACATAGCAAATGATCCAATGAAATTCGGTCATATAAAAAATATTTCCCCAAATGAAGAAGTACGTTCTGTTGCAACATATCCTCATACCTGTGAGAAATTTTAAAAAAAATTTAAAAAAATATATATATATATACACACTCAGGCACTCCTTGCCAGATCATTGCTATGTCTACCTGCCCATTTGGCTTGTCCTTTTCCCGGTTTCCCCGGTTTCCTTTCCTTCCCTTCCCTTCCGCTGCTTTGTCCTACTGGATTTCTTCCCCTCCTCTCTTGTCACGTCTATGTATTTCCTGTTGTTTTCCTGTTCTGATTTCATTATTCATTAAATACCGGCTTCTCTCTACTTCTGGTCTTGTCTGCATT